AGACGTTGGTATACTGAAAAAAGAAATTTAAACCAGAGGTCACACAAAATCAATCTTTTCCATGTCTTCAAGGTTTTGAAAACAGTCGTCAGTTAATTTGCATTAAAAAGCTTCGTGCAATTGCAAATGGCTGGCAGTTTTGTGCTGTTGTCTTCGTTGAAGAAAGGACACAAATAAATAAAAACTTTTAAAAATGTTGAATTTAAAGAAATACCTCTAATAGCCCTAAAATATTTATCATAAAATATTATATAAAAAATTACTAAAATGTGTTCTTTAAAAAAGTATAAACACATCTATATTACTAAAACTGAAATAAAACTAACGTTAAAAAATAGAACGATCATTTTATTTCATTCCATAGCAATTTACAACAAAAATCTCTTTGGACAACTATTCTAAATAAAAAAAATTAGAACAAAGGGAAGGCTAATTCCATTATAATTAATATTACTTCTTTTATTCCATTTATTGTTTGGGATTAAAAATTTTAACCAATTTTGGTATTTATAAATTTGGTTTGGATTTTTGCAGGTTCGGTTCAGATATAATTCGTTTAAACTATTTTTAAAATTCAAAATTCATAAAAACTAACGTTCACTTTCTAAAATCTAAAAATAAAATTAATATACAACATATAAATTTAAATAATGTATACCAAAATATTTCAACTTAGCATAAAAATTGGTTTGAAATATATATTTGGATAGGAAATCGATAGATGTTTTAAGTATTTTTAGTGGTTGAGTAATATTTAGCTATTTTAGATATTTCCTTTGATTATTTGTATATATTTGCAAATATTTTAGATAACTTCACAATATCTTATATATCTTTATATTTTAGATATTTTTGGATATTATATTTAATAATAAGTATATAAATCTGATTGGAATATCCAAAATATTTGATTTTGGTTTTAGAAATACCAAAATTTTAAATTTCGGATTTGATACTATTTTCTTTTATCAGATTCAGTTCATTTTTCGGATTTGGGTTTTTGTCCAATTTGTACCTAATAGTGTTCACTAATTACTAGTTACAACTTTGGAGAATCTTCGATCCATCTTCATTGCTTATTTATAATAAATAAATTTTGGAAAATATTGTTCCAGTGTGTTTTTATATAATGGAGAAATACTATTTGTTATTTCTATATTTACAGAAAATATATAATTTAGTTTAAGAAAAATACATTAAAATATAATTAAAAAAATAGAAAACGAATTACATGTGATTCTTATCAAGTGATACACATTGTCGTACATGAATGGAGAAAGAACTCCAAATCTTTTTGTGATATAAATTGACTTCTTAGCTAATAAATCGAGTTTTCGTCTCCAGTGCCCGTGGATGAAAAATTTAAAGCTGAAATATCCACGTTATAACTCTATTTTAGTTAACAATTTATTTTTAATCGAAAAATAATTGAAATACTAAAAAACCAAGAGAAGTGTCGATATTTACATAGAATACCTGGGTCAAACCCACCCATCCAATGACCCACCCGATTGTAATGGGTAAACCAAAAATAACAGAGTAAACCGAGTAAACCAGAGAAATCCCTAAAATCAAATGCGATCTGTAATCGCGTGCTATTTCTTTTAACTCTTCGTTTTCTTCTCTCTCGAAAACTCTCATTTTCTCTCTTCTCCCAGTGAACTCGAAACTCTCGGAGAAAAGGAAGAGATCTCGCAAATCCCATTTCTACCATCAAGAGGTGAAGCTTTCTACTTTCATCGGTCTTATATTTTTCATTTCATAGGGTTTCGTGAGATCTAGGGTTTCGAAGTTTCGTGAGATCTAGGGTTTCGAAGTTTCGTGAGATCTAGGGTTTCGAACGGTTGTGTCTTGTAAATTAAGACGAATTAGATATCGAATCGGATGTTGATTTGGTCGTTGGTTGCGTCGAATTGGTCTCATTATGTCGTGTCTCTCTCAAGTTGGTCTGATTCGAACATTGTTGTTACATGAATTGAAAATGGCGAAAATACGATGGACTAATAAGAAGGGAAAGAAGAAAACGACGAAAACGAAAGCACTGAAGGATATAGCTACTCCTTCGAAAGAGGTTGATGTTGAGGAGAATGTAGCCACTCCTTCGAAAGAGGTTGATGTTGAGGAGAATGTAGTACCAGAGAAGGGAGAAGAGAGGTCACGAGAAGAGGAAGAGAGACCAGAGGGAGTAAATAATGTAGAACAGAGTGTGGAGAAGTTAGGAGAAGAGGAAGAGAGATCAGAGGGTGAGAACGCAGTAGAAGAGAATAAGGAGAAGTCAGGAGAAGAGGAAGCGAGATCAGAGGACGATGAGGCTAAGTTGGATGACAATGAGGAAGAGAGGTCAGATGAGAAAGATGCAGAGGTTGATGAGAATGAGGAAAATTCAGGAGAACATGAAGAGAGGTCAGATGAGAAAGATGCAGAGGTTGATGAGAATGAGGAAAATGAGGAAAATTCAGGAGAACATGAAGAGAGGTCAGATGATGAAGAGGCGAACTTGGATGGCAATGAGGAGAACTCACGAGAACAGGAACATAGGTCAAATGAAGAAGAGGCGAACTTGGACGACGAGGTTGTCTTGGATCAGAATGATGTTGAAGGAGGTGGGGAAGAAGGAGGTACCAGTCACTTAAGAAAGGTTANAATGAGGAAAATTCAGGAGAACATGAAGAGAGGTCAGATGATGAAGAGGCGAACTTGGATGGCAATGAGGAGAACTCACGAGAACAGGAACATAGGTCAAATGAAGAAGAGGCGAACTTGGACGACGAGGTTGTCTTGGATCAGAATGATGTTGAAGGAGGTGGGGAAGAAGGAGGTACCAGTCACTTAAGAAAGGTTAGTTTGATAGAATGGTGATGTGTGATAGTTTCGTGTAGGAGTAGCTTAAATTAGAGAACTAATAAAAATTAACAAAAATGTTTGTGGCAGGATTCCGGTTTTGAGGAGCCACAGGCGATCAAACCGTTGGGCATGTACTTTCCACCGTCTGAGTATAGGAAGAAGATAAAGCTATCAACGCGGTGTTTTATTGCGGAAGTACTTAAAACCTTTAGGGAATTAGACCCTCCGATGAGTGCGCAAGAGAAGAATTGGTTTGAGAAGCATCCACAGTTCAAACACATATTCCACATGCCACAAATTGAAAACCACAAGGTAATGGGCATGTGGATGCTCCTTCTCAGAGCCGTACGGATAGTGAGGACAAAAGAAGCATGGTTTGCGGTGAATGGTTGTCCCATCAGGTATGGTATTAGAGAACATGCTCTGATATCTGGCTTGAACTGCAAGAACTACCCACTGAACTACAAGCGCAGTGGAGGCACGAGATTTGTGAGGAAATGCTTTGGTAGTGGAACAATAAGATATCAAGACGTGAAAGCGAAGGTGCAGGAGAGAATGGAACCTTCTACCGATAGGTTGAGGATGCTGATCTTGTATTTCCTATCGAGTATTATAGTTGGGCAGAGAAAGACTGGTGATGATGCCCCTCCTGTGGAGCCATTCCTGCTGAGAGCAGTTGATGATCTCAACTTATGTAAAACATTTCTCTGGGGTAGATTGTCATTCGATTACATGCTGCAACAGATTTCAAACACTCTGAGGCACTTTGATGGGAATGTGAAAGAAGGTGTGATATGGCCAGTTCCCGGTTTCTGTATTCCAATGGAAGTAAGTGTATATGAGTTTAATGCTTTGAATTTTAATGGAAAATATGAAATTGACAGTTGAGAGTTTTGTGTATATGTGTAGCTCCTAGCATTTGAGGCGATCTCGACATTGGGCGACAAATTTCGAGAGTCAGTTGAAGACGAAGACGCGAACTTAGACCCAACATGCCCAAGAATGTGCCAATCTAAGTTCAAGAGGAGTGAAATGAAGGGATTTCCCCTGGCGAAAATAAACAAAGAGCTCGGTGATACTAAGGTTAGTTGTCCCATGTATACAAACATTGAAAAATTGTATTGTTATTTAATAAGCTGTTGACACTGCAGGCCATTGAAAGCATCTTGATTAGTACCGTCGACGAAGACACTCTACTTAGTCGGATAACAGAACCAGAGGACATAAGAGATAAGGATGATGTGATTGTTGAGAGCTGGATTAGGAGGTTGGAATGTGGTTATGATGTTAGGTTTGATGATATGTTTGACGAAGATGTGGCTGCCAGAGAAGGCCGTCTCCCTGAGAGTGGTGGAAAGGAGACAGAAGGCAACCCAGCTAAGCAAAATGAATTGGTTGCAGCCATCAACAGCTTGAAAGAAGATGTGGGGAGTCGGTTGAGAAGGATTGAAGATAAACTTGGAGAATTTGAGGGAATTGAGGGAAGACTCGCTGCATGTGAAGCTTGTGTTCAGGAGCTGGTAGATGGGAGGACTCAGGAGGAGGAAGAGGCCATCTCGAAGAGGCCAAGCAAGAAAGCAAGGAAAAACTGATGTAAACCCCTAAAACTTCGGGTGTTCTATAAGTTATGTCGTTTTTTGTTGTCCAAAAACTGTTTTTAGGTTCCTCTTCGGTTGTAGCAAAACTATGCAATTACTCTTTTGGTTTGTACTAAAACTATCCTTTCAGTTTGTTGCTTTATCTTTGTATGATGAAAGTGGTACACTTTAAGTATGATTCAGACCAAACATAAAAAGATCTCGAAAAGAGGACTCCACTTCTCTCTTTAACCAGATACTTTTATAAATATTGACCAAACTTCGAGACTGCTTGTCTTATTTCTCTGTCTCTCTCCACGAAAACTCCCTCGCCTCTACTTTCTCTATTTCTCTCTTCGATCAGATCCAAACAGTTAAGATGGAAGTGGGTTCTTCGTCTAGGGGCCGCAATTCTGGTCGGAGACGGTGTCACTGTGGGTTACCGGCGGCGATCTCGCAGGCATGGACTGACAAAAATCCAGGAAGAAGNGCTTGTCTTATTTCTCTGTCTCTCTCCACGAAAACTCCCTCGCCTCTACTTTCTCTATTTCTCTCTTCGATCAGATCCAAACAGTTAAGATGGAAGTGGGTTCTTCGTCTAGGGGCCGCAATTCTGGTCGGAGACGGTGTCACTGTGGGTTACCGGCGGCGATCTCGCAGGCATGGACTGACAAAAATCCAGGAAGAAGATTTTATGGCTGTCCAAGGTTTAAGGTAAGACGTTTTATCTAACTTATTACCATATAAAGTTTGAAGTTGTTGGAATTGAGTAGAGTAATTGAATCCTTTTGACAGAGAGGAAATGAGTGCAAGTATTTCTCTTGGTTTGATGAAGAGGAAGGCACAAAATGGCAAAAAAAAGCGTTGATTGAAGCTCGTGATGAAATCCGTGAGAAGAATAGGGTGATTGAGGAGTTGAAGAAGACCATATTAGAGATGAGGAACGATGAGATTGTTAGGCAGTTTGAACAATTTCAGCTCTGATAAGTCTTATGTATGATCTGGTTTATGAACTTATGTACTCTTTTAATGTTTGTACTATCTTTGGCCAACTATTTTGTCACTGCTTAACTACTTAATTCAACCGAGATCTGTAATCCAAACAACATCAAACACATAATCCAAACACAACATAAAACAACTTAATCGAAGCAGAACACAAAACTACATAATCCAAGCACAACATCAAACACATAATGTCTTAAGAAACAACATGAAACAACTCCATAATCCAAGCACATCAACGTTTTTTCAGCTCAGCTATCTCTGCAGCCATCTCCTTGACCTTCTGTTTTAAGCGGCGAACCTCTTCCTGAACTCCGATAACCCATGGTTGACGGAAATGGAGACCATCATCCTGCCAGTTTTACAGTAGTGTCACATTAGTTGCATTAGTTTCACATTAGTTTCACATTAGTTTTACAATAGTGTCACATTAGTTTCACAGTAATTTCACGGAATGGATGTTACCTTGAACTCCTTGCAAGTGAAGTACCTTCGGCCTGGTAAGAAATCATTATCTTTCGGATTAGTCGAAATCTCGTCGACGATTCGTCCACCACATGGACATGATGATGGAATCCCATACTCAGCATCACACACATACTGAAGCATGTCGTAATGTCTCTTCATCTTCTTCATCTCCCTCCTTTCCTCCTTCTCAACCCATGGATCCATTTCCTGTGGCGGATTACTCACTGAATTTGGAGAATTTGATGATTTTCGAAGTGAGAGAGAGAGAAAGAGAGAGAGAGATAGGAAAGAAAGGATAGGATGTGAGATAGTGGGAATCTGCTTTTTGGCCACCGAAATGTGTTCCTTCAGGCACGATTTTTAGGAAATCCCGCCCAAATTTCCACCAGATTAGAAAAGCCCGCCTAAAAAATAACACGTAGTTCTACCTTAAGATAGTAGTTGTACAGATTTTACAAATAGTTGTACATCTGGTGATTTTCAAACATTTTAGTATTACATGTAATTATTCTTTTTTCTCGTAGTTGTACAACAAAGCATAAGATTTAAGAACTTGATTACTGGTGTTTAGAGTGATAAAATTGTATAAAGTTACTAGAAAAGTGTATGTATCCTTCAGATGTCACATATCTTACAAAGTTACTAGAAAAGTGTATGTAGAATGTTAGTTGTTATTTTGAATTGAGAGTAATATAGGTTATTTTAAATTATCTTCAATATACAAGATTTTATATTCTAAGAATATTGATTTCTTATGCTAATGTTCCATTGTTAAATTCAAACATTTGGACCTCAATTCGAAACTCAATGATAGGTAATGAAGCACAACACATAGTTCTCCCCATAGTTTTTCTAATAAAAAACAACAAACATACAGTTCTCCGATAGTTCTTCTGATAAAAAACAACAAACATACAGTTCTCCCCATAGTTTTTCTAATAAAAAACAACAAACATACAGTTCTCCGATAGTGTTTCTAATAAAAAAACAACAAGCATACAGTTCTCCCCTGCTGATTCTCAAACATTTCGATTCCCGAATAGCAACCATTGTAGGCTTTGTCTTGGACGCCTTTTATTTTGTGTCCGTGGTCGACGCTCCCCTGCTGATGGAAACCGTTTCAATCTTTTTCTCCCCCTCTTCTCAAGGCGATTAGGAGCAAATATCTTCTTTACTTTGATGTAATCAGGGACATCCCGTTGACTCCTATCTGGAACAACATATATAGTCTTGTAATATGCCAACGCCCACAGCTCTGTCCAGTAGTATTTAGATACCAAATCTTCTAAATCGAAAACGTGATTGCTATCACCTTTTTTACTGAAAAAGATGTAAGCGGCTAATCCATGGATACAAGGATACTTTTCAACCTCAAAGAACCTGCAGCTGCAGCTTTTGGCAAGTAAATTCACTAAATACGGTTTTCCATCACTCCCCATAACACTGTATTCAAGGTTGAAATCGTTTAGCTCCGACACAATAAGTTTTTCTGCATCCCCCCATGTGTCATGCACATAGTTCTCCACTAGAGGCACCAGTCTTCGCTCATTGGATCCTCTAACAGTCTCTTTCCTATGTGCATTAAACCAATCAGCTGTCTTTTTAACTATCGCATCCAGCAACGGTATCAAAGAGTATTTCCTCGCGTCTTTGAACACACTGTTCATCGACTCCACAACGTTGCTTGTGTCGATGTTGTATCTATCTCCTGGAAACCAACACCTTGCCCACTTTTCTTTCTCACTACTTT